GTTTAACTTTAAACATTTTAACACATCCATTGAACTATTGTTTTACTGACTATTTATACATTTTTTATCAACTATCATTTTGACTTGATAATGACGTTAACTCAACGTGGAAACGTCGTCGTTTTTAAACAAAATTTTTAACTTTCTCAATATGCTTAGAAATATTTTATCGCAATTTTTTATAGTTGAATGTACATTACTTGCAGAAAATTTTGGACGATTTTAATTGCGGACAAAAAATGCGTCCGAAATATTTGCAGTACAGTATAAAGCTTTTAAGTAGCTCCAAAGCTCTAATGGTTCTTTTATGGAGCGAACTCTAGTTGACACAGTGCTTGAAATACGCAACGGCTTCATAGAATTTTTGTAATATTTGTCTGAAATGAGATAAAAGTGTAATAGGCCACGTGCGATATATCAATATTCTAACATAGCTCCGAGGCTTTCGGGACAGAATTGCAAATTTGTTATGTTTCCTAGGTCTCTCAATTCCCAAAAGAGACATGGATACAGAGAGGACATCACCAAATATAGAAATTTGTCTTGAAGTCTTCGGAGCCATGTTAGAATATTGATAAATAAGAACGTAGCCTCTTAAAATTGAACTAATTGTATGCAGGTGATTATAGCAAGACTGCAATACACAAGACAGTGCAACTGGAACCCACTTATAGCGCAATCAGATTACATTTACTTAGTTATAACTGGCTGCTTTTGGCTATTGCCAAAAGTTTGCAAATTTTTCTTACTATCTGGCTCACGTACCCACAAATTAAGCATCAGCGTTATAATCTACTTGGCAGGTGATCTCTTTGAAGGTAGGAATGTAAATGGCCATGCTGTACCTGCAGTTTTATTATCCAGTCAAAACTTGGGCAAGAGCGGTTCCTTGAAACCAATGATCAGTGGATCGCCTTCTCCTGACGAATTTGAAAGGGAGATGAGATCTTTAACTCTGGGTTCTCGAACGAAAAGTGTATCTAACATATTCCAGAATAGACCTCTTCCTCCCGCTCCGAGTAAACGCTTCTCAAAGAGTCTTGACCGTCTCCGTTTCTTTGAAGCGCTGCCAAACAGCAGAGGAAAAGTCAAGACGTTTCCATCCCATCACAAGTCACCTCCCATACGAGCACATCCAGTGTTGGTAAAATCGTCGAGCTTTGGAGGAACGTTTAACAAGATAATCAGTGGATCAATATCGCAGCCGCCTGTACCACCACCAAGGAAGAATTCCGTGGACGTCCGAGATAAATCGGCGACAATCGACGTGAGTCACTTCAGGAAAACCAACCTGTGTCACAGGCATTCCAAGTCGTTGGACACTCTTCTTCTCCTTAGAGACATAAACTGGACAGCTTTTGATGTCGATATCTACCACTCCTACGAAAGTGTACACGGTAGCCAGCTGGGAGAGAATAACAACACTAAAGAACCATCATATGCTAGTGTGAGCAGTGACGAAAAACCGCCCTCGAGTCACGAAAGCAATGGAAGAGCCAGCACCATGTCTGGGAGTCCCATTGATAGTGACACACCTTTAGATGATGGCGACGAGGATCATCCTTACGCCAGTGTCAGCGAAGATGAAAGATCGAAGACTGGGAGTTTTAATGGATCTGATCAGCGCTATTCAAACCGTGAAAGTGATGTGAGAGATAGCGGGGTGTCATCTGGCCTTCTTGAGCCTGACAGTGACCCTGCATCACCCTATGCTTCAGTACGAATCAGTCAAATTCCAGGATTGGTCACTTCTCAGTATCGCCCTTCATTAGGTACAGACAGCGACTACAATGGTGAGGTTTTGGAGAAGGAGAATTCTGCTTCAAGTATAGGTACTTGCAAGGATCTTAGAGACTGTGACGATGCAAAGCGAGCTAGTACTCACACATATCTGGAAGTTCTCCCTGACAGTGGTAGAGAGAGTGTAATATCAGAAGCAAACTCAGGCGATAAACAAGATGACAAGCGGGCTAGCACTCATACATATTTGGAAATTCTTCCTGATAACTGTAGAGACAACGCAATGCCAGAAACAAGCTCAGACAAAAAAGATGAAAACGTCAAGCGAGCCAGTACTCACACATATCTGGAACTTCTTCCTGATAACAGCAGAGACAGCGTGATATCTGAAACGAGTTCGGGTTATGCACGCCCAATAGACGTCGTTACAAGTAAACCAGAGAACTCTGATAACACCCATTTGAATAATGAAAGGCGCACAAGTTTGACTGATCTTGAGATACCCAATGAGAGATCTGGAACGCTAGAAAGTACGGACAGTGGTAATGGAACTCTTGAACAGTGCTCCGCATCGAATTCCAGTTCTATCGCGAGAAAAGGAAACATTCCTTTGGTTTCAGACAGCTCGCAGAGTCACAGAGGAGGAATGACTGACTCAATTGCGGACAGTGCGGTCGGTGCAAATCCTCGGCGAATATCACAACTGTCATTTGAGGGATTTCAGGATAACGACGAAGATTGCGATGTCGCTGATACAAAATGGGAACCTAGGGACAGTGGTACAGGCGAACTCATCTATGACAAATCAGGCTTCACTGGAAACTTGAGAAGTCAACGTGATAGCGAACGGTCAGCACCAGTGAACAGTGGCCCTGATGTGAATGTTAATGTACAAACGCTTCGCCTGCAAGAGGCTCGTCACACCGATGAATTCTTTGTCTAGGTACTTGGCTGTTTATAACAGTGTTAAATGCAACTAATGAATTAATCATGTATGCAAATCTTACTGTACAGTACAGAAAAGCAAGTTAGTGGACAACCGTCGCTGAAGTGTTTTCGTAGTTACAGTGCCGGTGTTTTCGTAGTAAGCACGTGCAGTGGAGAAACGGCAAACTGAAGGATTTCTTAACCTGTCAGTGACACAAGCTACTCTGAAGGGCAATTTCGACTTCATAACAGGAGGGGAACTAATGGCTATGACCTTCATTCCACACACTGTTGGGTCGTTCTACCACTGAGCTGCAGGCAACTCGTGGGAGCGGGGCCAGGTAACTTGAAGGTTCAAATGAAGTAAACCTTCTGCTCACTGCCGGGATCAGTGAGAACGTGTGGAAAGAATTGGCAGTGGTGGGTACCTTGTGTCACTTACTGAAAATGATTTTTTTTCAGTCGCACGTAGAAACTAAAGGTTTTATTCAACCCCAAAACTCAACTGAAGTAGTTCGACGGACTTTTCAAAGACCTAAGCAGATAGATTAAAAGTTACAAGTAAGTATAGCCCATATATATAGAATTTGCATTAAATAATCTCTGTGCGAGGGACTAGATACTATAAAAGGGGCCAAGGAAACACTCAAGCAAGTGATCAAGAGTGATCGGGAAGTTCTTTTGTGAACTTTTTAAATTTGAAGGACTAAACATGCGACTGGTTCGTATATAGGCGTAGTATCGAGCTGGACTCATTGCTGAATGTGTATCGTGTTTGAGTGTCGCCTGGCCCTTTTGGGAATCTACCGGAGTCAACCGAACTTTCCACTACATAGATATCAGTCTCTTAAATACTGTTTTCGGCACTGGTTGCCATACATCTTGTTTGGTGTTGAAAAGAGTTAATACGTCAAGATGTTACGTTGAATGGATTTTCATTATTCTTAAGGGGAAATTTGATTAGTCCGGGTCAAACTCTTTTAACGAGAGGCTTTATTTAAGCTTGTTTCTGTAAAATAAATTTAAAAGTATCCAGAAATCAAAGGTTCGTTTGATTGTTTTTGAACGAAGCTTCATTGAGAATGACGAGCACTGTAGAATTTTTACTGTTGGCTCACGGGTGATGTTTATGGTAAAGAATCCATTTGTTAGACAAATGTATCAAAAAAGGAACAAATATTTTGACAGTTATGAAAGGTAGAGCGCCAAGAGCGAATAAACTGGGTGAGGCTGGCTAAATGTGTGTTCAGTTTCTGATTTCATAAGCTTAGTTGCTATTTGCTCAGTTTCTTCAACTGTAAGTCTCGAAAAAAGAGCGTTTTAATACGTTTAGTGTAAACGTGTCTAATTAATAAACTTACAGGGAGATGTCACTTTGCCTTTCTCTTTCGATTCAAGCACAGGGTCCATGTCTTTGTTTCAAGTTATTTAGGTTTCCCTTCTACTAGAAGCTTGCAAGCTTTGATCTGCTTCCACTAAACAGAGGAAGACGAGGCAGTGGAAAACGTAGAGCTAGAGAGCCAATCAACAGCAAGTATTTTGGAATAAAAACGCTCTCTGGTTAAAAATATATTGAAAACGTAAGTTTTCGGCTATCAGTCTATAGCCTTTCACGAATGAGAAAGTTCATTTTTCATTCGTGAAAGGCTATAGACTGATAGCCGAAAGCTTATGTTTTCAATATATTTTTAACCAGAGAGCGTTTCTATTCCAATATGTCTTATCCTGGTTACAGTTCTATTTTTACTAGCAAGTATTTTCCCGCGCTTTTCTGACGCGCCGACCCGCGTCGAGCCTGCACGAAGCGAGTGCATGGAGTACAACGATCGAGAAAAAGGTCTCAGTACCTACATATAAAGTGGGCTTCATCGGTTTGTTTCCAATGATTAATAGCGTAAGTTGTTTGAAATGAAATGTGTTACATGCATTTTCACCCGACCCCTGATGAATTCACTGGAAATCTGGACTCCATGGTCTTGGCGCACTGCTCTGAACTGAAGGTCGAACCATCTTTTCTAGCACGGCTAAGGAGTCCTTCAGGTAAGCGTTAAGAAAGCTTTTAACACAGCTCAAAGATTTGTTTAATGAATCTGCTTAATACGTTAAAGAAAGTCGATAATACGGACTAAAGGTCGGAGAGAAAATTCAACTAGGTCGTGTTTTTACTCGGAGTGGACTTCAGTAACAGGGTTAGGGTTTGTGTGGGACGACCCGGTCTCCTTTTGCTCCTTTACATCACAATGCAATTGTATGTTAGAGTGAAAGACACGACAACAAAAAAATGAATTAAGTTTAATTCTGACATATTTATTGATGTTGAAAACGGCTGGATATCTCTGATTTTTGTTTTTAAAATTAATTTCCATGTGGTTTCACTTACAAACTGAAAAGTTCTGAATGAAAGTGGGTACGTCTTTAGATACGTCGGTAAGAAAATAAAAATAACGATACTTAATCTTAATAAACTTCTCATAATTGTTTTCCGTGATACCTGCTTAGTATTTCATATAATTGTTTTAGTCAATAATTTATTCTTTTCATTACAGATAAATTCGTTTCTGTTTGTAGTCTCCATGGTAGCCGTTTCTGGAGGTCTTGTTACGTACTGCTTTGCAACAATCGCCAAAAAATGCTCTTTGGAACACTACAATAATTTGTTTGTCTTCATCACCATTACAGACTAGCTACTGTCTACGTTTTCATCACTCAAAGCAATTTATCAGACCAAAAATACATTCTCAATTACTATAAAATCTAAATAAGATCTGACTCCTTCTCTTGTCTGATGTTACATCTACTGCATATATACTATGGTAAGCGCTAGTTACAGCTAAAGGTAATACACTGAAACAACATAGACGGTCTAATGATAACAAGCTATTTTTATACATCTAACTTAGACTGCAACAACGAGATTCTTCAAGAGGTCTGCAGTTAACTGAATATACCTATATTATTAACAATCACTGTAAAGTACTTAAAAGACACTGTATTTGAATGTCCCTATGGAAACCTTCAAAAAGAATATCAACATAAAATGATTCTTATATTTTTTGAATCAGTTTTAACCCATACATCGTCATATATATATGGCTAATAGCTCGTGTCAAAACACTTAAATAATTTATACCTATTTTTTACACAACCTGAATTGATTTTTCCTAAATAGACTAAAAGACCAATTTTACACACAATACTGTAGGTTTGACATTAATATATTATTATTCTCTGTAAGGCTAACTAAGTCACTCTCGCTGCTTTATTGGGAAGAACACTCTTAGTTGCTCCAGGAAGATCCATGTTAGAATAGTGTGAGGAGCTAAACGCACCCAAGCTGGGATGAATCCCTAATGACAAAGTACAAGACACAATGGTGAAGCATACCCAAAGGTATTAGTACAGTAGAACACTGATGTCTGGAAGTGTATGAAGAAAATTAAAGGCTGGTGCTCATCTGCAAAGGGGATGTATAATAGAGTTTATAATAAGTGATTAACTATTAGAAAACAGCCCCAAGAAATTATACGCCCTGAGTGGTTAAAAATCAGGTTTCTATAACTCAATAGGAACACTGAACTAGCACAAGCTGATGATACAATGATGGCACAAGCAAAGAGAAAGTTGTTTTCTAAACGTAATAGAAAAGAATGTTCTCCGTGTTTCTATCGAGTTATAGAAACAGGAGTAGACGTTTGGGAGAACTTGAAACAGCTGTGGAAACACTTGCTTGTTGCCTTGTGTTCCCACAGCATTTCTTGTTTCTCTATAACTTGATATAAATGCTGTACATGTTTTCTATTTCTTAAGTAAGACTCAAGTACTTACCTTGTAAAATCCCATGGGTCCAAGCCTTGCTGTGAACAGTATGCAATGTGCCACACTCTGCAAAGGATTTACCAGTTAAGTATTAACCAATGAACCTAATGACAGCTGGTTTTGAAACAACCGATACTTGTTTAATATTTTTTCAATGTACTTGCAGTAATCGCTTTACCTTATACTGTCCTGGTTTTGCTTCCATAAGTCTTGTCTTCATTACATCAACAGGCTGTGTAATGCCAGTGGCTATTGTACCCTAAATGAACATAAATGTAAACTAAGATAAATACTCAATACAACTTACAATAAATACTCTTCAGGAAAATAACATAGAATCAAACTTAAAAAGTCCTAACCAGAACTCAAGTTTCTTGATCATTAAACTTAGTTTATGTGAATTGGGCTAGCATTCATACTATTATCTACTAATGATGCCATATCATAAAACTACATGTAATTATAGCTTACTACACTAAAATAATTAACACAATTTTAATTTCATTCATCTTACCGCTATAAAACTTGCGGTGAAGTGGGTAATAATGTTATCTTTGAAATATCTGTAAAATGATAAACAAATTAGTCAGTCAGATTGCTTATTACCTGACCAACTAATGTTACTTTTAAAACAGTATTTGTGAATATAAAAGCTGCAATAATATCACATGGAACTCTAGTCAGGATAGACGCATCTACATGTAATTGATCCTACTTTTCTTTTTTTCTTTAGCAACCTCAAAAAAACTGAACAGAAGCTGTGCTCCTGCTGAAATGTCAACAATCCTTACTATGTTGGCAAAACAGCAAAAGTATCACATCGCAAGTGAATGACTATTACTGTAACAGTACTGCATTCCAATGAATGTGATAACAGTGCTATTAAAATATCAGACTGTTTCATTTCTTCTGTCCCTACAGTCAAGGGAAGTGTTTGCGTTGATAAGCAGCATTAGCAGAACCAAGTGACTATTTCCAAACGTTTAATAACCTGATGGTTTTAGATTGATAGAATTAGTGCCAGTTTAAGGAAATCCATTATGCATGCAGACAACAATTATACCCAATAACGGTAAAACTATCTTACCCTGATGCAAGTAACAACTGCTTAGCTTGGTCATAACAAGCAACCTAATATGGGGAAAAATGTGAAAATCTTTATTATCTAATATTACATGAAAACAACAAACAACATAAAATATCATTCAATTTCTATTTCACTTCAGTAGCCAGTCAGCTGTGTTCTAGTGGTTAATTCACGAATCTGATTGGTTCTCTCATCATTTTCTACCTGCTGATTGATAGACAACAATGGTGATTGTGCTGTTCTTGAAAATGAAAATTATTTTTAAGTTAAGGCTTAAAAAAAACCCACAAAATTGTACACTTTTTTACGTGTCCACTAAAACAATTACATTGGACTATTTGCCCATGTTTTCTATGAGTGATAGTCAACTCTGCAATGCCCTGTTCATTATATTGCTCACAGAAAACTTGGGCTCATAGTCTACTTGTTAATTAGGACATCACTAACAATAGAAAATATTCCCAGTATTGATTAAAAATAACAGTTGATGAAGTGCAAAGTTTGCCTACTGCAAAAGTTGCAGAAAAGCTGAAAGATGTACAGAAAGACAAATGAGAATTAGCCATGATAGTTTTTGGTAAAGCTTACCTGTGCCACTGTCATAAGGAGAGCTCTGGATGAGGTCATTGTGACACCTCTCATCCATGTGGACACACCCTCTGTCAAAACAAGCCATAAGTAATGAAATAAATAAATAAAATAATAATATAAACAAAAAATATTACCAAAAATTGTCCAGTGCTACAGATTGAACATTAATTAGATAAATATATATTTTACAGTATCTCAGCAGTTAAATTTTGTTGACATGGCACATACCTTCTGTTGCTGTTCTGTAGAGACCATCAAACACATGCTTATAACTGAAAAACACAAGAGTATATGCATTGGGTAAACTTACACAAGTGAGTGCTATTTACAACATTTAGCCACACTGTGTACCAATTCAATAACTGAAGGTAACCATAGGTCACTGAACTTCAGAACTCTGTTTAGAAACTTTCAGAAAACTTTAATAACAACTTACTTTCTCCTCAGTGCTACATCAAGTGTTTTAACATCATTCTGCATCCTAAAAAAAAATGTTTTCCCTTAGTATTGCAAGAACATTAATTATTTCCTTTGATTTTGGCAGAGTAATCAGAGGTTCTCTTATAATTGTATCACCATAGTGACACCCTAATGGGTCCATATGCCTATTTTGTTTTGGTGGCGGCAGGGGAAGGGGCTGAGGGGGTAACAGGCTTAGGAGTAAATTGTGTCTGGTAAGTAACAAATTACATTGCACAGTCTCAAAACTTTAATGCAGCTCTTAGCCCCTACCTCACATTGACCATATCTGCAGGATTTCCTACGATTCCACCCAGGAAACCTGTTAACAATATGAAAAAAGACCATTTATACACTTGTCTCACAATATTGAAAGTAAGTACACCTAGGTTCAATCCAGACAGGAAGCTTAATATAGATGCATTTAACTCAAACATTTATATAATTTATATTGAGATTATTATCAAAGGAAAGTACAAAATATAGGTAAACCAAAATACCTCTGCTGAAACGAAAGTATGAAAAACCTTCCCACGCTTTCAATTTTAATTTGTTGAGACTTTTCTTTTGTCATGTTTAACATTATTGCTGGCTACTCACCAGATACTGCTCCTATAGCAATTTTCTGGTAAAATGGTAGTGGCTCTAAAAACAAACAAAATGAACAATTTAAGAGAAAATATACATGATACGATTGATTGCTCTCTACTCTACACTTGTCACTAGTGGCATTAATTTTCAGTTTAAACATAAACTTGTTCTGTTATTTACTACGATTATCAGTTGAGTAAGGCACGACAAAAGTTTGGTCACCATGTTTTAACGTGAAAGTCGTGTTGTTGTCACGGGCAACTGGCTTTGTTTCCAGTGGCAACTTGTCGGCCTTTGACGTCATTGGCAGCAAAGCACGCGAAATTGTACGTGACGCATGGCTGTTGATATTGCTACCAATAGAAACGAGGTAAGTTGCCTGTGACAACACGGTAATTTTAACGCCGAAACTTCGTCACCAAACTTCTGTTGTGCCTTACTCAACTGATAATGGTAGTAAAGATTCCTTCCCAAGTAGTTAAATCTAAACTAAGTGTTAGAGCAGTTTTCAATTGATTGTTAAACTAAAACCAAACCAACTACTTACCAATTAGACTACTCAACCAATCTCAAATCATAATAAAACCAAAGTAATTGCCTAATACTTTTGCCACTCAATTGAAAATGGCTCTAATCAACATGTACTGGTTGTAATAATTAATAATTATTGCATCAGAAATATAACTGATAGCTAAGCATCTTATGCAACATTGTGTCTCTCAGTACAACTTGATTCCCCAGCTATGTCTGCATGCACCCTTTTACCTTAGTGGCAAGTAGAAGGCAGACATAAACTGTTCAAGTAGCTCGACGGTACACGTTTCATAGCATTCAGTTTTTAAATTAAACACAATTACAAATAACTGTTATTTGGCCATACAAATTGTAATACAACAAAATTTGTATAAGATATTACCATATAACACTGAGTGAGGTACATGTATATTCCAAACTGCCATGATCTAAATGGCCTGATTCAAATTTTATTCAATCCTTTATTTGAATTTTACATTAAATTTTTGAAAATCCTCATAAAATTCTTACTAATTCTTACCATCTCCTTTCCTTAATTCTCCTGATACCACTTCATATAATCCATAACGTGTTGTAGAATATGTAAGCTGAAAAATATACCAAGAAGATCCTCTATAACAGCTTTTTAAACTAACTTTTTGTTGTGATCATGTAACTCTTATTACACTCTTTATTTCCGACAATGGGGTATGCATGTACAAAACAGTTATGTTTCATGTACATGTAGATGGTGCACTCATAACAAAATGGTACATATTAGTGAACATGTCGGCACCCCCAATTGACCGTGACTGACTGTCCCCTGAATTTTGAATCCACCTGGCTTTTTGCCATTACTCAGACTTATTATTTAATAAAATGCTGCCAACAGAAACTGAAACAGACAGAAATCAAAGAGGCACAACTATGTGTACACAGATTATCACTGTTGATGGAAAAGAAAGACACAGACTGACAGACAACAGATTACTTAAACACCCTTGTCTACATTTCTAAGATTTTACAAGACACACCTACTTTTACTAGTTATGGAATTGAAGGTCTTAAATTGATTGATAGCACTGTGAATGGTTGTTTACCAGGAAATTAAGCTATACATATGTGCCATGTACTTTTTAGAAGATGTGTATCATTGAAGAAAGGGTGTATAATGAGCTAATGATATTGAAATCTATGGAGTAGGCTGATGTTGAGCAACAGTTTTTTTCCATTTGTACACTCCCTTTCGTATGCAATATCATACATAAGATTGCAAATTTATCTGATAGTTAGCCAGTAAGTTCTGCTGATAATAATTATGGTGACCTGCACATCTACGTACCTGTCTCATAAGAGAAGCTGATAGCCCATTATAGAGTGCCAGAACACCCTGTGTCCGTACAACATGAACCGCCATGGATGATAGCCTCTGTGTAACTTGTTGCTGCGTTTGTAGATGAACCTGAAAGAGAAAGAGAAAGAAATGTAGAGGCGCTTCAAAAGAAAATGAACTAACAGTAGTTAAGCAAAAAGGAGAACAATAGACATAATAGGACAAAGGCGAAACATTTAGACAAAAATTACTTCTCTGCTACTTCAATGCACCAAATATAGACACCAAACTATGCTCATGAACTTTAGGTCAATATGTATTTCAAAGATAATTATAAATTAAATCCTGAACAAGACCTTCCTCAGGCCAAAACAATTGTACATGTACGGTTGTACATAATAGAGAACTTGGAATGAAAACAACATACGGATTTTGACGACTTGCCAGAAGTTTTCATACATAACCGTGGACAGGTTTTAGCCGAAATAGTAAAAAATTAACACATTTTCAGAAGAACATTAACATCAATATTCGCGGTCCGATCGCAAAAAGTAAAACAAAACAAAGCAATTTCGATGTGAGTCGATCGTTGAGCAATATATAACCCATTGAACAATATGCAGCTGGGCTATCAATGAAAAGAGCAGTATTTATTTGTACCTCCAGTTTTAACAAGGCCAGCGAATATCTTAAACGATTTAAGATGTGTCGCGCAAATTTCATTGTTACAAAAAGACTAGAAAGGATTTCTGAAATTCACGTTTTAAGCCTCTGAAAAAACTGTAACATCGTTAATTAACTTGAAAAGACACACGCACGATAGAGGCGATGTTTTCACGTTTACAATTTATCCAAGTCTTTTTCACCCAAACTAAAGTAAGTTCGATCCATTAGACAAACTGGCGAAAGCGAAGACCAATGCAATTTCCACGCCTTGCAATTGTGTCAAGTGATGGTGATACCTTCAGGAGATCCAACGGATGTGTACAACAGGCTGCCATAGCCGAAGCAAAGCCTCCAAGGTACCATCTGTGTTTTTTAGCCGTCACTTTAACAGCTCCAGAGGCTTTAACTCTCTCTTTTACTTGAATTGACATTTTCTCGTCGAAGAACTGAATGAACTGCCCTTGATCACATCAGATAGGACGTGTTTGTCACATCGTCTCGCCATCGAATCTCTGGAACGTGTGCTTGGTCTCGTGCTCAGTAATGTCGCCTGGTTACTAAGCATCCGGGAAAACTCTTAACGTCATCAGTTTCGTCTTTACGTGCACTGACTCGACAAAACATGCAGGAAAGGGCATTAAACCCCGGGAAAACTCTTTTGTATTTTTATATTGTACCGTGACGTAAATTCCAATCATGTTTGCCCTTCCGTGACACATTTTCTTACGTTGACTAAAGAACCTGTGCACATGCACGAGCTGATTGCATTTTCAAGCTTCGAATATTCAGGAGAAAATCCAAAGTGGACCGGATTATCAACAGTTTTACAGTTCAAGTGAGTTAAAATATACGTATATAACCCCTCACTTCTTTTCTCATTCTTTTCCCTCTTTTTCTGTTTTTATTTTATTCACTTTTTCCTAACTTTCTATTTTTCTATTCATTAATACAAAAAAAAGACATTTGTAACTATTAATAGACTGGTACGCCTAGACTAGCACTAGTTATCCGTGGGGCAGTCCAACTGTTACGTGTAAATTAAGAAATAAAAAATGATTGATTGATTGATTGATTTAATTTATCAGGAACTGGAAATTTGTCGATTTGACCTGCTAATCAATGGGAGTACCGCTGATCACAGACGGTAGTTGAGCTATGAAATCGACAGTACCTCTCTGCTTGCATAAAAATTACGGAGCGGTAACCGAGAAAAATGGCATTAGTTCACCTCAATTTGTTTACGTTATATTTCGCTGAGAATTACTACTAAGGGTATGCTTGATTGACCTTGTATAGTTGTAATAATAATAGCTTTTTTTTTCGGTGGTAGCCAGAAAAAAAAATATGACTGAGGTAATGTTCATAGCTTAATTCTCTTCCTAGGTGTTTAGGGTGTTTATGATCATCATTAATTTCATGAAGCGTTAATTTGCTATAACAAGGTAGCCGCATGACGCGGGACGGGACATCATAACGTGATGCGTGATTTGCTATTTTACAAGCTCGTGATACGTGATTTATCAATTAGATTTCCGTGATAAGTGAACGTTCTTTGAACTAGAAGGATAGCATTCATTCAAAGTGAATAGTAAATAGAGTCTTAAAAAAGATCATTAAATCGTCGCAGACGTGGCATCATTTTCTGGTCTTTTTCGTCCTTTTCTTGACCTCTGATGTTTTTGATCTTCCAGAATGTCACGGTACTATAGGTCCAAACAATTGTGATACAAATTATAGGAATAAGTCAATTGAAAAGAGTTAAACTTTGCCCAAGGACTATGAGCTTCAGTGTTATTTTTGTCCATTTTGTCGACGGATCATTTTTGGCAGTGCATCAGACGAAGGGAATATGACACACCATATCCGAATCCGGCTATCATGTAAAAGGTCTGGACGATTTTCGTCCAAAAGGGCTGAAACGATAACACACGTTAGAGTTTGGTGTCATTTTATACCGCTCGAGAAGACAGTTGTGTAAGCAACTGGAGACTACACAAAGATAACGTTTGTGTGCCACTTAATAATGGTCGTCATAAA